CAGAAATGCTGCAACATGTGACTATAGAAGGAGAGATAACCATATGTTAGTTTCAAAGGGACTGTTGAGAGGTTAAACTCTATATTTCTCTCCTGTCAGTCCACCCATTCGGTTGTGTCCAAGAGTAGGCGTCCTGGCAAAATGTCCCTCATAGCACACTGAATGGTATAAGCCTGTCTTCATTAGCACCGTTAGTGCAGAACAGTACGGCGTTAAACCCCATTTCATTTCATTTTCAAATCTGACATGTGGTTCTTCCACTGCTGAACCCCCGATGCCCAAGTGAATTATCAGAATCAAGTTGTGCTATATGTTAGTCCCAAAATGACCTAGTTTGTGTTCAGTGGATGATAAACCCCATTTCTCTCTCTCTCCAAATCTAACATTAGGGAGAGGAGTTTGACTGAGGCGAACCGTATCCTATTTAGCGAAAATTCAATCGCTAAAATCTCAGTTCAGATTTGATCAATTTGACTGAAATTTTCAGCAAATTCCCTTTACATTATCTAGTTTTTAACTATTATAGTAAGAACTGCCAGCTCTTTATCTAATCTCCCATAATGTATAGATTTTAATAAATTATGAATTTTTAAAGTGCATTCTTTCCAGTAAACTGCCCAAGAGTGCTAGTCATATATTTACTTTGAAATTAATGTATTTTAACTGTGTTCAATGTTTCAAAGTGTTCAGTGTTTCTGATCTCCTGATATGGATTGGAAGTCTATTCCATTAAAAAAACTTTTACTATAGTTCCGCCCTGAATACAGTGAATATTTTCAAGATCTTGTTCATTCATCAAATTCTTTCTCATTCATCATCTGTCAATAAAAACATCTGGTTGCAAAGATTAAAACATTGAGATGTTTTCCATATTGTTTTGACCTGGACAAAAAGAACATGGCCGACAAGGGCTCTCTTTAAGCTATGTAAATAAAAACTGTGATTAGGACTACTGTGTGCTTTCAATAATATCTTTCATTGAAATACAATGATTTAAAAAGAAAAGGGATTCTTCATGATCATCCAGAATAAAGGGCTCATAAAAGGGTTTTCAGAATCCCCTATAGAAAACACTTAAAATACTACCAGTTGATAAAAGAAGGAGACTCTTTAAAGGTCTGTGTAAAATATTTGAAAGAAAAACAAAGGTAGACTTCAGGATTAAAGATAAAACCCAATTTTTTTTTTATTCTTGTCGGATAGTGAGGCAATTTTCTCCATGTCATTGATTGGTTGATTGGATTTTCTGCATATGGTTCAACACTCGATGTGTTGTTCTGCTCGTTGAGTTGCCAATAACCCGTCAAACATCTCTAGCGACCTGTCAATCATAGACAGACAAATTAGAGAGCACTGCTGAACCGTTACAAGATGGTCTCTGCCTGGAATCGGCTCAGGTGTGCAGATGACAAGTTAATGACACACCTTTGCTAATTGTAGGTGCGTTAATCGAAGAAAATTACGGAACAAATAAAAATATTTGATTGGTTAGTTATTATCTGCGACAAGTGATAGCTCATTAGACCCTCTTCACTGGGTCATCACAATAATGGCAATATTTTTTTTTTCCTTTCAAGAAAATGCTGTATTAATGTTCATTGTTACTAATTCAACAGAAACATCTGGTGCCAACATTTTTGTCCCAGGAACTCTGTGATAATTCCTGTAAACGCCAAACAAACTATAGAATTAAAAATAAATGAATCCTTCATTCTAATGCCTGTCCTGTTCCATCATGGCACTGTGGCCTTTCTGTCTCTCAATGAAACAAGTTAACATTAGATCATCCATTATTAATTGACATGAAACCATTAATGAGTTATGAAAATGGAGAGAGAAAAAAGGGAGAATTAGAATTTAACATCCGCTAGTTTTGATCCCAGACTTTTATGTGACAAGGAGTAGGGTGGGTCGCCTGTCCAAACTTGTGGGGTTTTTTACGGGTCCTCCATCTCCTGAAGACCCCTACCTTCAACCGTTTTATTGAAATAAAAGTATATCATATGTTAGTCCCGAAATGACCTAGTTTGTGTTGAGTGGCCAGTAAACCCTATTTCCATCTCTCTTTAAATTATTTGATAATGAACACATCTTGATAAATGGTTGACAATCGTCCATCTTTGTACCATAATCTACAGTCCAATCTGACAGCCAAATTTTCCGTTAAACTTGACTGTCGAAAGTTTGTAAACCATCGTTATTTGTAGTTATCCATATCTACTCGAGGAGAATTATCAATCATTGGTATCTAACGTTTCCACGAAGTCCAGATGCCACGCATATTATGAGTTGCGTTTAAAAACAGTTCACATCGCATCACGAAAACTTCCCATTAAGCCTGACATATCAGATTCAACGAATATGACGCCAATTTTCTGCACGGCAGCCAAAAATGTGATGATTATCTCCGTGTTAAACAAACTGATGGTTTGCTATACATCGCTAAACATGAGGGTCGTCAATATCCTACGTAATGGAGCAAAAGTCATTTATGCTATCAATCACGACACTGGACTGATTATATTTAGTAATCTGATAAATGCATAAATTGAACGCGTAACCTCATCTGCGTGCTTTATGGTTAGTTAAATGATGGCGAGATAATGATACTCCTTTTTTCGGGGTGAAAACTTTTACTTTATTGTGGAGTCTCTTACAAAGTGATTTAATTCTATAGTTTAATTAGGGTTGTTATGATGATCTTATCCAATTCATATTCATCGTAAATTCAAAAAAAAAAAGGTTCAGATATTGAAGATTTTATCTATTAATCCTATATAATGTTTATCGGTTGATCTTTTAACAGTAATTTATTTGACACATTAAGGCCATATTACTTCCCTTTTAAGGTTTTTCTCTCGGTATCTGAATATCAAGGTAGATTTCAGGTAAATCTTCTGTCATTTACCTCTCGGCACTCAATAATTATAGGTTAAGGTCAACTAATTCTTTTTCCAAAACATTTGATACAATTTCTCTCGGTAGTCAACGAACAGTCAAGGTCTACTAATTGAGTGGTCGAATGGACTAATATGTGCGCTTTAAATCATAAGAGAGATAAAGAGAAATGGAGTTAAACGTCCACTCGACATAATTTACATCATTATGGGACTAACATATGGTTCAATTTTATTTCAATAATTCGCTTGCACATAGGGGTCTTTAGCAGTGGGAGGACACCAGAGGACCCTGAGAAAGCCCACCAGGATGGACAGGCGACCCTACTCCTTGTCACGTACAACCAGGCAATCGAAACCAGCTGACTCAATGATACAATGATAACCATTCGGCCACCCAACCCCAATTAAATCATAAGGCATAATCATTGAGTCAAGTACCATGTTTTGATCCCAAACATGTACGTGACAAGGAGTAGTGTCACCAGACTAAACACATGGGTTTTCCGCCGAATCCCCCAGTTTCCCCCCACTGCAATATGGGATCTAGTCCAAGATTTGTCGAAATTTTGAAAAGATTTACCATATAGAGGAGTAATAGATCACTGTAAATTTTGAACATTATGTCTGCTGGCAAAAAATATAAACCTCCAGTCAACTACTCTTTCTCTCTCTCGTCACTCTCTCTCTCTCCCTCTCTCTCTCTGTGGTATTTATGAGTAATATGAATATGTTTGTACTGACATAGTTATGAGGGAAAACATCACTTTGATGTAAGGTATAACATTGTGTTTTATTTTTAACTAAACGCAAAAATGCATTATAATAATTTCTAGCGGTAGACGGAAGGCAATTAACAGTAACAATACGACATTGAAATAAACCATTGTCATTTGTCTATGCTGATTATGAGTCAATAGGCTCTGGGTTTTGTAGTGGGTTCCGCTTAATGAAGCAGAACGTTTTACAACTCAAGTTTTCATATTTATAGATGATGATTTTCTATAAGAATAATTATTATTTTCATTAATTACATTTTCAACATCATTCTAGTAGTCTTTGTTCTATGCTTTTTTCTTTCTGTCTTGAATATAAAGTATTCTGATAAAAATCTTCTCCACATAGTTCTAATGAAGAACTGAATCAGAATAAAACATCAATTTTACACAAACCTTGTTTGATCATCCAAGTCTGACCTCTTTTGGATATAGTTACAAACCACAGAGCGGAAAGACCTTTGGAATTAATTCTTTAAATTTATTATTAGTTCATTTTCCGTCTGAATAATATAATAAAAGAAATTATTTGATCATGAATAAAGTTCCAGGTGATATGAATATTTTAAGGTTAAGAAACTGTTTTTTGTTTTGTTTTTTTCTCATTTGTGTGTTAAAGATGTTTTATAAGCAATTATACTGTTAAAATGGGTTTTTTTGTTGGCCAGGTACTTCCATAGAAAGTGATGGGGTGGGGAGTGGGGGGTTAGTATGTTAATCTACCTGTCCACCTGTCTGTGTATTCTACATAATTTTTGAAACACAATAACTCATTAGCTGCATTAGCTCCAACCTCGTGTGTTTTCTCTGGGTCCTCCGGTTTTCTCTCCCTGCTAAAGACCTGACTATGTTTGATGATGAGCACTTTCCACTCAGGCTAAGCAGAGATAAGCAATTTGATTTATTGATGGTTTGAAACAATGATAACTCTGATTGTAATTGGTATATAGTTTCATTATGCTCAGGTTAAGCAGGGTGGTAAGCAATTTTTTGCTTGATCCTTTATAAACAGGTAAATGTGCAAATAATTAATAAGTGTCATCTATTTTTATTAGGATTTAGGCGGACATTGAGGTGATTGAGGGAACATTAACCTCATTGTTTGTTCATTATTCTACATGGGTTCGGTGGTCATGCACTTTAGATCATGGGGTTCATCATTGAGTCAAATGGTGTGGTTTCTGTTCCATACTTCTACGTGTCCAAACCTGTGGGTTTTCTCAGGGTCGGCCAGTTTTCTCTCATAGCTAATGAAAGACCCCTATGTGCAAACAAATTATTGAAATTAGATCTAAAATCTCATATAATATATTTTGGTATATTTCAGGTGTGTTGTACGCCGATGTACAGGTGTTGTGTTCAGTCAGGATGAGACATCCGTCATCATATCGGATAAATCTGGAGATGTGTACAGGTTTGTCGTACATGATGAGAAGAAGGAAGGAGAATTATTACTCGGACATTTATCCATGCTCCTAGATTTGGTACGTACTGAAATATATACAGAATTATAACAAGCATCATTGACTAAGTATGGACCTAATCTGATAAAACACAGATCTTATTTTGTTTCATTTTATATTGTTCAAAATTTTCTTTTACCTGTTTTCACTACACTAGGATCTGGAAGAGTTTTTAAATAACCTACTTTCTGGTGAGGATAAGCCAACTAGATGGTCTGTTTTTATCGTCTGGCACTAAGTATGGACCCCACAATTACAAAAGATACTTGTCATCAATTTAACCATATATTGGTCCTATAATATTTATAGGGTACTGAATATATACAGAAAAGTAACATACATCATTGACTAAGTATGAAGTACATTAGAATACAATATTTATCATAACAAATTACTACAAATTATTTTTGTCGAAGTCTGGATATATTTACGGGAATGGAAGCTTATAATTTTAAAACCTATTTCCTACAGGGAACTCGACATTTAACCCAATTCTGGCCGGTTTGTTTCAAAATGGATTAAGAACCCTGGTATGAATCCCTCAATTGAAAATATTCCTGTCATCCATAGCCATATGGGTTCCATGCTATGTAGAGCACTGAAAACTAAACAAGAATGTCCTGGAATTAAAACACCTTATGGGAAGAGTGGAATCTTCTTGATTTTTCAAGCCCAGCTCTCCCTTATCTTAAAAGGACTAGATACTTCATTGATTGGTGTTAAAAAAAATATAAGTGTAGATTTAATTAAATTTGATGTGTTGATTTGTTTGGTATCTGTTTACCTATAAGATGTGGGGAGAATGGTCTTAACGTGTGCATCTTATATCAACTGGCGTGGTTTCGAATCCCCAGTTGTACGTGACAAGGAGTAGGGTCGCCTGTCCAAGCTCGTGGGTTTTCTCCGGCTCCTCCGGTTTCCTCCCACTGGCAAAGACCCCTACGCACAAGCGAATTATTGAAATAAAATTGAACCATGTGTTAGTCCCGAAATGACCTAGTTTGTGGCGAGTGGACGTTGACCCCCCTTTCTCTCTCTCTCTCTCTCTCGCTCTCGCTCTGATTGAGTCATTTGGCGTAGTTGCAGCCTCAGGATTGTAGTGATAATAATAGAGTTCTTTGGGTTTTCCTCTTCACAGCTACAGAACCCTTCATGATTTACCATAAATACCCATGAAATCCCATTAAAATCAAATAAAATGTAATTTATTTTCAGATTTTAATAAAGAATGATAAGTATGTGGTGACAAGTGATCGAGATGAAAAGATGCGAATTAGTTGTTATCCTAACTGTTATAACATTCATTCATTCTGTCTAGGCCATACCCAGTAAGTAATTATCCTGTTATAACATCCATTTATTCTGTCTAGGCCACATCTAGTAAGTAATTACTCTGTTATAACATTCATTCATTCTGTCTAGGCCACACCCAGTAAGTAATTATCCTGTTATAACATCCATTTATTCTGTCTAGGCCACATCTAGTAAGTAATTACTCTGTTATAACATCCATTCATTCTGTCTAGGTCACACCCAGTGAGTAATTATCTTGTTATAACAACCATTCATTCTGTCGAGGCCACACCCAGTAAATAAATTTCGTTGTTATAAATAATATCTATATGGTCAGTTATCTTCCCTTGTAAAAACTCTTAACTCTACCCATTTGGCAGATGAAAGGAAATTAAGGTTTGCCCCCCCCCCCACACACATATCGGATGAACGTAAATTAAGGTCCACCCAATCCACACCTTTGATAAAAGTAAAATACAGGCTATTATTATTATTATTACAGGTATGTTAGTAGTATGGTTTATGATGAAGAAGATGATCTATTGATATCTGGATCTGGGGTAGGTACCATATTTTACCCTCTTCGGTTACCCTTTCTTACCCTCTTCTCTGATTACCCTATCTTATGCTCTTCAGGTACCCTATTTTATCTTTTCAGTTACCTTACCTTACCCTCTTCAGTTACCTTAACCTATCCTTTTTAGTTACACAATCTTACCCTTTCCGATTACCCTATCTTACCCTTTCTGATTACCCTATCATTCTCTTTTTAGTTACCCTATCTTACCCTCTTCAATTACCTTATCTTACAGGATATGGAATAAATATATTATGTAATATATAATCAGAATATGAAATAATAGTAAATATGTTTTGTTATATATAGGATTGTACCATCCAAATATATTATGTTATATATAGGATTGTATAATATATTAAGTTATATATAGGATTGTATAATATATTATGTTATATATAGGATTGTATAATATGACATGTTATCTATAGGTTTGTATAATATATTATGTTCTATATAGGATTGTATAATATATTATGTTATATATTATTTATAGGACTGTATAATTTAGTATAGTATTTATAGGATTGTATAATATAGAATGTTATTTATAGGATTGTACAATCAGAATATGGAATAATGATGGACAGGAACAGCATTGTCAGAAGTGTCGATGTCCGTATAATTCATCCGAAACTGAATCGGAACAATCTTACATTAGACGACTAGCATATAATCCAACCAAGAAAATATTAGCTGTATGTTTTGGCAGGTGAGTACATATTTGTGGGAAATGTTTGATTATTGTAATTGACACTGACTGATGTAATGTGAATTTCAGTTGCTTCACTAGTTGTCAGAAAAAATAAATTGCGTACGATGGGGAACCCGCCATTCTTATAACAAAGTTACTTGCGAAAACAAACCAAAAATTTTGAGTTACATAAATCCTTTGATGATAAATCATATGCCACAGTGTATATGCAGACAACAAGTTTCAAAATGTGCAAATCGTTTAAAATCATTTTGTATTTTCACACCATCCGAAGGACAAGATGTTCACTGTACCACTGACATAATGGAAAATCCTGTGCAACTTTCTCTTTGGTGGTTGATAAAGTAATATAGGCCTAATACTCAAATAGATTATCGCATGTGAGCAATTGCAGGACATTTTGGCTGGTTTTCGGGACATGGGACTTAGAAGCATTTTGTGGGACTGTCGCACGAAATGCGGGACAGGTGGTCACCCTAGTTTACATATGTAACGAGAAGATAACACCAACTAGTTATTTTATTAGCAATGTGTTACTGTACAGAATTAAATCTAAGAGGATTGAAATGAAATGAAATGAAATATGGTTTAACGCCCTACTGTTCTGCTCCTATACTGGGCTAATGAAGATGGGCATACGCCATACAGTGTGCTATGAGGGAAATTTTGCCCAGGCAGCGGCACTATCACCTACTCTTATATCGAATTCCAACTGCCAAGGGATCTTTTACATGCATTCCAATGTATACACGGGACCTCGGTTTTTCGTCTCATCCCTAAGAGGATTGAACAATTAATGTAGAAGCAGATTGATATCTATGGAAACACGATTTGGAAACAATGAATCTATTGACAGGCTACAGAAAGATCGTTTGAGAATGATGATAACATTATGTACCGGTACACAGGGGGCTACACTATAGGGGGTTTGTGATGGCTTAGTGGTCTAGAGTGTCACGTTTCAAGCTCGTACTGGCCGGTCACCTCTGGCTTGCGGCCGTGGTTTTGAACCTCTGGGCGTGCTCTAAGCATAATAAAACAAGACAACTTGTCTGCGATGTCACCATCGGTGGAAGCAGATGTTAAACACTAATAGAAGAAGACCACTAATAAAAAACAGATACTTATTGTCACTGGTATAAACTTAGTGACTTTTTTTTTTGTTTTTCCAGATATTTAAATATAGAAATTTACCAATTAACGTCATGTAAAGAAACGACATCATTAGAATTACTAGAGACATTACCAGTTGAGAGTGAGATATGGGATGTGGGATTTGATGAGAGTGGTAGATTATGGGTTGTACAATCTCTAGAGGATAAATATATCTCAGTGTATAATCTCATTGAACAACAAGATCAAATAAAGGTAAGATAAAAAAAACCCCACAGTTTTCCAGCGAACATTGATAGGTGTTGTCCGTATTACACAGGTAACAAAGCATATATATAAATATCTGTATGTCAGTAACTGTGTTTGTATCTATACTTTGAAGTTTTCTCTTTTTTTGTGTTTTGTGTGATGAAATGAAAGGTAGGCTGTTGTTTGTGTTATTTTTGGTTCTGTTTACAACTGGTTACAACCAGGTGTTACGTTCATACAGCAGGTATAGACAATACAATTTGGTATTAAACTCATACAGGTTTCATGGATGCTTGGTTAATTTGTTGAAAGGCAGAAAAAAAGTTCATATATCTGCTTTTTAAGAGCACTCGATTCCAGTTTTTTATTGAGTGACTTAATAATGCCATAGGCGTAGGGGCTCGATGACAGTTAGGGGGGCAGAACCCGAAATGCCCGAAAGAATTTCGGGTTTACAGACTGCAGCGACCTTGTATACCCCCCCCCCTCCCCCAAAGACAATTTTGGAATATTTGACTGCTGCAAACACGTTTTCCTGCTATTGCAGCCGTTGAACAAAGTAACTTCAAAGTGGTCTAATATAGCCTAATTCAGGTGGCTGACTCGGAATTCCAATCAATCGTTTACAGTCCTCGAAGACGGGACCGTTAGGAGAAAATTTTGAAAATTTAACTGTCGCAAACGCATTTTCCTGCTATTTCAGCCGGTGAACAAAGCAACTTCAAAGTGGTCGAATATATATTATAGCCTTATTAAGGTGGCTGAATTCCAATCAATCGTTTACAGTCAACGAAGACGGGACCGTTGGGAGAAAATTTTGAAAATGTAACTGCCGCAAACGCGTTTTCCTGTTATTCCAGTCTGTGAATACAGTAACTTCAATTTGGTCCAATATAACCTACCTGGCTGACCCGAATTCCAAACAACCAATCAATCGTCGCGCGGTATATGGAGGCCTCACCCTCCCGGAAAAAAATTTGAAAATTTAATCACCATAAATGCGTTTTCTGCTATTCTAGCCCGTGTAAGCAACTCCAAAAGTATCCAATGGTTTTGTAACTGAAATCCCACTCTGAATTCTAACCATCCAATCAGACTGTTGCATCTGCATTCACAAATAATAATCGATGCCTGAAAAATGTCGCACAAAGTAGAGTGGCTCCAGACAAAATGTTTTAATCCATAGTCAACTCAGTACAAATTCGTGATATTCAATTACAAGAAAAGTAAAATTAGTGTTTTATTAGGGCTCGGTGACAGTTAGGGAAGCAAAACTAGAAATGCCCGAAAAATTTCGGATTTATAAACAGCGGCGGCGGTTTTCTTTGAGAGGCGAATGACCCGCCAAGAAAATTTTGGAATATTTGACGGTCGCAAACGCGTTTTACTGCTAGTTTCCTCTGCCGCTTTCCGGCCCGATGCCCGTTTTTCGGGGAATACCTATTTTCGGGCAATACCGTTTTTTCGGGCATACCTATAATAAGAGAGCTTCGGGCATATTTTCGGGCATATGCAGTGGACAAGAAAAAGACGAGAAAATACTTTTCGGGCAGTGTGGATCTCATAGAAATAAGTTAGTTATATTTTTTCTCTAAACGTTCATAGAAAAAAAAGGTCGTCAAATTTTTCATTGCCCGAAAATAAATTTTTTGGGGGGCAAATGTCCCCCCTGCCCCCACGGCTCCTACGCCTATGGATAATGCTGAACAGTTTAAAGGGGTTACATAACCTTTTTTTAGAGCACTCAATTCCAGTTTTTTATTGAGTTGCTTGATAATGTCCAGCTGTTTTGTAATGTTCTTCCTGAATAGTTTGGAGAGGTTAAATAATGTTCAGCTGTTTGGTGTTCCCCCCCCCCTCCCCCCCCCCGAACAGTTTAAAGGGGTTACATAACTTTTAAGAGCACTCGATTCAAGTATTTTATTGAGTAACTGGATAATCTCAAGCTGTTTGGTAATGTTCCCCCCAAACAGTTTAAAAGGGGTTACATAACTGTTTAAGAGCACTCGATTCCAGTTTTTTATTGATTGACTTGATAATTGTGACCCTTGACAGTTGGAATTCGAAATAAAAGTAGGCCATAGCGCCGCTGTCCGAGCAAAATTCCCTCATAGCACACTGCATGGCATATGCCCGTCTTCATTAGCCCAGTAGGAGCAGAACAGTAGGGTCTTTCTTTGAGCCTTAAATGTTATAGAAATTATTAATCAGACATTTATTAACATGATAAAACCATAATCAACTCTCGATGTCATCAGGTGGCCCCGATTTTAAGTAGATTAGAACAGTTTGGCCATTTCATGATTTAATTTAAAAATGGCAAAGCGAGGTTAAGTCTCGAATGACCAGTACGGTAGTTATGATCAATGCACACTTCTTGTCATAACTACAACCATTGGTAACTTCGCTCAAAATAAAGTAATTTGAATGAAATTTTCAATATGTTATTAATTTTGCATTATCTATTTTTGAAATATTATAGTGAGGATGGCCAGCTCTTTATCTAAATCTTACATAATGCCCCTTTAACATAACAACTTAATGTTGGTATTGTACGTGCGGTTTTATTGTGTATTTTAGTGTTTATATTATATTTTATTGTGCATTTTAGCACCGCTGGCTATAACTACTTTCATTTTTTAAAAATTAAATACACTTATATGGATATACTACTTTTGAATTTATTAAAGATACATTATGGGAGATTCGATAACGAGTTGGCAGTTCTCACTATAAAAGTTAAAAACTAGATAATGTAAAGGCAATTTGCTGAAAATTTCATTCAAATTGATCCACTATGAACCGAGAACTAAGTGATTGAAATTTCTGCCTAGCTTCGATCATCATTACTAAAGTCATTACGATAAACAGCATAATCTCGATTATCCATTTAATCGTTAAATCGTGAAGGAAAGTTATGCAGTAAATTGGCTCATAATCCACTAAAGATCGCAGGTTAGCGATGCCATCTAGAGTTGATTATGGTCTGGATAGGTTAATTAATGTCTAATTAATCATTTAGATAACATTTCAGGCCTAAAGAAAGACCTGCAATAGACAGATTTAGCTCTTGCATAATGTAGGCTATGTTTAACATACACATATCGTTTTCAAGCAAATTATCTGTATGTGTATTGAAAGTAGCATGTTATTAAATTCAGAAGTTGTATATCCATATACGTGTATTCAATTTGTGAAATCTACTTCTGTATGTCTTATAAGGATTACGGGGGGTTGGATGACTGAATGGTTAGCATGTGCGCGCTGTATCATAAAGCCTGTCATTGAGTCAACTGGCGTGGTTTCGAATCCCCAGTTGTACGTGACAAGGAGTAGGGTCGCCTGTCCAAACTCATGGGTTTTCTCTGGGTCCTTCGGTTTCCTCCCACTGCTAAAGACCCCTACGCGCAAGCGAATTATTGAAATAAAATTAAACCATATGTTAGTCCCGAAATGACCTAGTTTGTCTCGAGTGGACGTTAAACCCTGTTTCTCTCTCTCTCTCTTATAAGGATTACTTTCATTTTCGAAACAATGTTTTAATTTACTGCAGATAAATTTGAAATCTCAATAATTCATTATTTAATATTTTTTCTTCCTTCAAATGGGATCTGTATCTTTAATCTGATTCAGAGATAATTGATTTGTATGTATATTTAATTATATTATTACAGAGTAAACAATAAAGTGGGGGACCCCTCGGGACTACATCTTATCGTTAATGCCATCCGGTGCGAATGTTCTTTAAGTGTGAATCCATTTGAATTCATTGGCTTTCCTTACGGCATCCTGTTTGCCGTTATCTGGGTCAGTCTTAAAAAGCTCTATAATTTTAATCATAACATTTCTACTCGTATGCACACTTTTCGGAATAATCGACTCCGGTGCCAAAGATCGACTCCGGTCCATCTGTGACATCACATGTGCTCCGGTGCCCACCGACACTATACATAGAGGGCCACCGCACATCCTCATTTAAGCCTGAAGAGTTCGAATAAGAACGAAACTAGTAGCTGAGAGAAATCTGGGAAGGCTGTTCGCCTATTTACAGATTTTTTACTTATATTATTACAGTTAGAGAAATGTGTTGAAGAGAAGATATGTAATACTGTAAATGAGCTCAATAGTCTTAAAGAATTCTTTACAGGTGAATATTGTCTTTTCTATTTAGTGTTTTAATGCATTAGTGGGGTTGGGTGGCCGACTGGTTAACACACGTGCATTCGATCAGAAGGTCTGTCATTGGGTAAAGTGGCGTAGTTTCGATTCCTCGCTTGTACATTAAGAGGAGTAGGGTCATCTGTTCAACCTCGTGGATTTTGTCCGGGTCGTCTGGTTGCCTTCCACTGCTAAAGATCATTCGCACAAGCAAATTATTGAAATAAAATTGAACCATATGTTAGTCTCGAAATGATCTAGTTTATGTTGAGTCGACCTTAAACCCCATTTCTCTCTCTCTTTAATGAATTATTGGAGAGGTGGTGGGACAGTTATTTGGCGGTTAGTACAATTTGACCAAAATGAACCCTTTACTGTTGGGTGTTTTTAATGAATTATACTCTTCAAAAAAAAGTAGGGGATATTGAAATGCAAATACCTATGCAGATTGTGATGTGATAAATAGTCATGGACACTTGACATGCTTCGAGAGTATGTTCACAGATGAAGAACTTATCGCCCCAACAGAACCACTGTGCTGCACACACGACACACAATAGCGCCATACATGTGGGAGGGGTTCATTGTCAAATTTGACACTTCAAGGAAGGGTTGATGAAAACTGCCATGTGCTGGTTTATCTATCCATGTTTGCTTTCCTATCGGTTCTTGCATAAGATTTACTGTTTAGCGTATCTTTGCTTTAGTGTATTAGTTTAATTTGATCAGGAGACGTGTTCGTCGACATCAACGTCAACCAACAACACTGCAAGAATTGACCGTGGCACTGCAAGAAAAGTGGGTCAGATTGCCCAAAATTGTGATTGGACAGTTGATTAGGAGCATGCCACGACGAATTGCTGAATGTCTGAGGATTGGTGGAGCAATTACTCATTATTAAGACAAAAATCCAAAACATCCATTTTCACTTTTGACGGTGTATCTCTTTGCGAGTGAAATGGGGCCGTCAGATAAGCTGCCCATATGAACTGTTTAGCTTCATGTATAGGCAATTGGCCTGTTATTAACATACACTGATTACCCCTAATAAAAACAGCAAGTGCATTTCCACAGTTTTGTATTGTTTCTAAATATCCCCTACTTTTTTTGAAGAGTATATATCGAATTACAACTGCCAAGGGATCTTTTACGTGCACACCAATGAGTACACAGGACCTTGTTTTTTTTAACCCATCCGAATGACTATACGTTGTTCCTTGCCACTGACTGGGAGGATCCGGAGGAAACTCATATGGTTAAGCAGGCGACCCTACTCCATGTCTCATTTATGGGAATCCTGTGGCTAAGTGGGTAAGACGCTGGCTCGCTAGCCTGGAGGTCGGGTGTTCGATCCCTGCATTGGCCGAGAAAGTTCATCCAGATTTTCCGGCGTGGTTTCCCCTTGTCAGTGATGCAGGATGGAGGGCCTGACAATGACAGCTGTCTAGTCCTTCGGATGATACAAAAAAACCGAGGTCTCGTGTAGACATTGGAATGCACGTAAAAGATCCCTTGGCAGTTGGAATTCGATATAAGAGTAGGCGATAGTGCCGCTGCCCGGGCAAAATTTCCCTCATAGCACACTGTATGATATATGCCCGTCTTCATTAGCCCAGGTTAGGAGCAGAACAGTAGGACGTTAAACCCCATTTCATTTCATTTCATGTCTCATTTATGTGTGGGATCGAAACCACAACGATTCGGCCACAGAACCCCCCTTATTGTGATAGATTTTAATGAAAAGTCTCTGGACATCGATGTATTAGTATATGGTTGTATTATTAATACCAGAAAAGTAATTCATTTTATTCCTTAATAAATAATGTAGGATAGTCGTCAGGTTGACCTTATAACAACAGGTGCCCAGTCAAATTGGAGAACTTTAAACTTTCAAAAATTAGACCATGAAGTTACAAAAACATAAGGAATTAGAAAAAAAATTTCTAAATACGTCAAGCAATAACGGAGGATGAGACAGTACTTGACGCGGTTAATAGACAACTATTATCGACAACTTCTAAAAGCTGACAAATTAAAAAAGCGAGGTTGTTAATATATGGCTAACTAGCGTTATTAGTCACATTTCATGGCGGTACGTCTCATCAATTAACCAATAAATAACGAGAAAAAAACTTGGGGGGTCATACAGCACATGTTTAATTTCATTAGCTAGACTAAGGATCTAGGGTGACGATATGACTGTCGTAATTTGTAAGATGGTTAAATATTTAGATGGGAGGGTAATTTGGCGGAAAGATCATCTGATACTTCCAGCAAGTCAACAGTCAATACAGGTTGTTAAAGAATGGAATATTTAATAGCAACAGACGTTCTTTAATCTAACACCACCAACGATACGTTAAGCTTCAACTACTTTCTACGTACATGCAACTTATAATCATTTCGTCCTCGGTCTGTATGATTTTTCACGATATTGTACTTGTCACGAGTAATGGCCACTGAGCTGATAAAAAAAAATGTCCTTCCTTGTCTTTCTTAAAGAATCGGGGGGTTGGTGTGTGCGCGTTAGATGATAAGGTCTATCATTGAGTCAAGTGGCGTGGTTACGATTCCCTGCTAATATGTGACGAGTATGGTTGCCTATCCAACTGCGTGATTTCTCTCCCAGTCCTCACACAGCTAAAGGCCCCTACCCTTCAAGTATCTCCTATAGAAAATATTTCATAATATTAATATAAAATCCACTAAAATTTCAGGAAAAATAAACACACAAAAAGAGATGAATATTGGTTTGAAATCTCAAAAAAAAACATGCTAATCCAAAATAATTTGAAAAAAACTGGAACATTCCAGATAAATGAAATGTGGAATCCATTGTTCTTGTAGACATAACCATCTTCATTAGCCCAGTCATTAGAAATGGGCTTTAACTTCATACTGTTCTGCTCCACACTTATCGAAACGTTGTGCTTTTGTATAATAAACCAGTGATTGTTGTCCCATATAACTGTGTTAGTTCTACTAAGAGACTGTTCATAATTTAAATGAAGTGAAATAGGCTTTAACATGCTATTTTCCTGCACCAACTGAGTAAATGAAGATAGACATGCCACCATGAACATGCGATCGTTCCAGATAAATAAAATGTGCTATCAGTGGTTCTAAAATACATACTCATATTGGGTTCAACTCAACCAAACTAAACCAAAAGAGACTTTTCATAATCTAAATGAAGTAAAATGGGGTTTAACATGCAACTTTTTGCACCATCTGGATTTATGAAGGGCCTACTCTTTTACATTCAATCAAACATGTACAAGTACCTCAATTATTTGTCCCCTCTGATCATAATATAAATATATTCTTCAGTGGATTTAAAGATTAAAACACAGTTACACTTCAGTTTGTAAAAGAAACATTTCTTTAATTCCTTTCTGTTTTAAAATAATAGGATCAACTTTTTAAATAATAGGTTCAACTTTTTAAATAATAGATTCATCGTTTTACATAATAGGATCAACTTTTTAAATAATTGATTCACCATTTTACATAATAGGATCACCTTTTTAAATAATAGGTTCACCTTTTTAAATAATAGTCCCAAACATTTTAAATTAGGAAAACCATGTATAATTTATTTCAATTAAGTTTGTCCAGCCAAGAAGGTTTATCAGTGCTAACATTGTTTTTTGTACATATAATTTACACTCTCTTTACTTACATGCACTATTCACTAGAATCTGTGTTCAGCAGAATTGCTGTGACCGCTTACAAAAAGTAGTTGCTCCAGCTGCTCGTAGTAATTTTACTGTAAAATAAACAGTTGCATTATCAGTAATCACTCAAGAGGATTGCTGTGACCTCTTACAAGATGTTGCTGAGAAGTAGCTGCTTGTTGGATTACAAGGAGATGTTGCTGAGAAGGAGTAGCTGGTCCAGCTGCTCGTAGGATTTTTACTGTAAAAGAAACAGTTACATCAGCGTATCATAACTTATAAAATCTTGTGGTTCGTCTGCTTTCATGAGTGGCATCTGTGAGACTGATAATTAAAATGTGTCTTTAGGATTGGATGTAAAACCATGGGATTAAAAATATACCACTAAACTCAATGACAGAACTTATGTTTATAAAGAACTCGACTACCTGGGGGGTTGGGTGGCTGAATGATTTAACAGATGTGTGTCAGATCACAAGGTCTGCCATTGAGTCAAGTGGTGTGGTTTTGATTTCCCACTCATATGTGACAAGGAGTAGGGTCACCTTCTTCTACCTCATTTGGTTTCCTCCCACAGCTAAAGACCCTACGTGAATGCAAATTATTTATATAAATTTGAACTGTATTGTGGAGTGGACCTTAAACCACCTCTCTCTCTCTCCCTCCCTCCCCTCTCTCTCTCTCCCCTCTCTCTCTCTCTCTCCCTCCCCCTCTCTCTCTCTCTCTCTCCCCCTCTCTCTCCCCCTCTCTCTCTCTCCCTCCCCCTCTCTCTCTCCCTCCCCCCCCTCTCTCTCTCTCTCCCCCCCTCTCTCTCTCTCTCTCCCCCTCTCTCTCTCTCCCTCTCTCATGGTTTTATGTATTTCTATTTTCAGCATCACAAAATATTGAATCTATTTATCCCAACTTGAAGAAGGTTAGAATCGACAATATGACAGAATATCTCCAACGGAAAGAGAAGAGGATACAGGGACAGAAACTAGATCCTCCCACTTATGTGTTTCAGGAGAAAAAACCTAAATTATCATGATTTTTTATATATATTTTTTTTTAAAACAACAAAGTATTTCATAAATCCATAAAATGATTAGACTTCTCATTTGAATGAAATAATTTCCATTTTTAAAAAAGAATATTTCAGTTTTTGTTACTTTTTTTATTTACCGTAAACCCTCCTCCTGTCAAAAGTGAGAGATAAAGAACCCAATCACTGATTCATGTACCTAATGTGAATGTGAAATGAAATGGAGTATAACATCCTACTGTTCTGCACCGAATTCCAACTGTTAAGGGTTTTATGTGCAAGTCAATATGTACACGGAACCTCAGTTTTTCGTCCCACGTACGTTGTCCCTTGCCAGGCCCTCCATCCTACAACACTGACTTTCTCTGCCACCGAATTCCAACTGTCAAGGGTTCTTTTATGTGCAAGTCAATATGTACACCAGACCTCGTTTTTTCGTACCAGGCCCTCCATCCTACACCACTCAACCACTGCTGCTCCCTTATGTCAATGTTACAACCTCTTCTGGTTTTACCCCTTCTGGTTTTGCTTATTTGCTAATTGCAAACACATGGAGGATTGGAGACAGAATTTAAAATGAAGTAATATCTGTGGAATCTTCGAAATTTGAGACTCAAGTATAGAAATGTATAAAAAGTTCCAAACATTGACAGTACATATTCTGTGCATTGTTGTAAACTTTCTGTTCTACTTGACTCAAGTCTGAACATGTATAAAATGAGCCTGGAAAATAAAATGTGGGATCATGGAAAAGTACAAAAGTGCAGAATTCACACTTTTTCAGTTCCAAACATTGACAGTACATATTCTGTGCATTGTATACTTTCTGTTCTAATTGTCTTTAAACATGCAAATAAATTATAAATTATAATTTTAAAAAGAAAGTTCAACATAGTCAATTTACTGCTCATGACTTATGCCCTTTGGACTCGGCAATGCCCTGAAGTTCTATCAGTGGTTAATAATCAGCATCAATCTGGCTAATGAATATAAGTATGCCCTATACATCTTTCTGTGGGCATATTTTATTTGCTATTATGAATGTCTATATCTAGAACAAAAATCAAGCATAAACAATCCAGTGGTCAAATTTGGGAAAATCGGGTAACAAGAGCATATGGATTTGACACTAAATAGAAAGTAGTGTACAGGTGTCCACAAAAGTGTAAGCATACCCTGTCTGGAAATAATGCAGTTGGCACACTTGTGTGTCTCTGCATATATTATATTTGCTGTAGTAAATGTTTATGTTATTTATACAGAGAAAGAGAAATGAGGTTTAACATCTATTCGACACAAACTAGGTCATTTCGGAAGTAACATGGTTCAGTTTTATTTCAATAATTCGCTTGCAGGTAGGGGTCTTCATTTCTCTGGGCTTATACAAGATGCTTTTTATAAAGCATAAATTTATAATTTGTTGTAGTTAAACGTCTCTAAAAGGCTTTATAAATTTTTATAAGAAACTTGAACCGCTCCGTTGATAGTAAGACACTTGAGTTATCTTGAATTAGTTTCAAACACAATAAAAGGCAATTAAAATTGACATTCAAGTTAACGTACTGTTTCCATCGTGGAGGCTTTCAAGTAATAATTAGGTTGAAAACAGTGTCTGTAACAGCAGGAGGCCGCCAGCTATAAAATATAACAAATTTATCCACATATTAATTATATTATAACGTTGTTACGTTACCATAGTAACTCGACGTGTGCGTGTTTGCATTTTAATTGTTCTGCCCGCGTATAATCCGACACGCTTCGGATCTTTATTACCTGGAAAACTCGTTCCGTCTCAACGCAGTAATTTGACAGTACTAACTTCGTTTGATGGAGCCCATTTTAACTGCCATCTTGATTGTGTTGAAACGGTGAATATAAATCTCCCCTTAATGAAATGTTGTCGAGACAGGCGACAATATGGTTCACTGGATAATAAGACCTATTTAGTGGACCGGCTTTGTTCCTAATTTTCCAGTCTCTGGCCAACATCCGTTTTTTTAAAAGAATAGAAAAAGGGAGCCGTATTCAACAATTTAACACCGTCCCATATTTAATCCGTCCAATGGTTTAATATATTTGACTGTCGTCGTGAGATAGTGTTTAAGAAGGTGACAACAGGTGTATGTGAAGTGTGCATGCACGTGTTGTAAGATAAATAGTCTCTATCTATCCAGCTGTTTTGAACAGGTCAACAAAAACAAAGACTCGATTATTTTTTCAAATATTCTGACAGTATAACTAAGTATATACAGATCTCAATGGTCGTAACAGACAAGTGTTTGCTCATTTTGTTTTCGGTGACGTCATCTTGATTTTATCATTGGTTAATCTATGTTTAAAATGTTTGTGGGAGCCGCGGTGGCTCAGTGGGAAGACGCTAGATCGTTAACCAGGAGATCTCTGGTTCGCTCACGGTGTTGGTCGAGATAGTTCAGCGAGATTCCCCGGTGCGCTTTCGTCTTGTCAGTGGTGCAGACGAAAGGCCTGGCAAGGACATCGTGTAGTCGCTCGGATGGGACGAAAAACCGAGGTGCCGTGTACACACTGGCGTGCTCCTTTAGGATTCAAAATAAGAGTAGGCCGTAGTGCCGCTGTTTATGGGGTATGTCTGTCTTCATTATCCCAGTCGACGCAGAAAAGTCGGACGTTAAACCCCATTTCATATCCATCAAGAAATATAGACAATGTATAAATAATTAAATCTTAAATAGAGCGCGTTTCGAAAAGTTCTTGGTTATTTTAAACATTAGCACAAGTAGACTTTTTCGTAAAGTTCAAGTTTATTTGCTCTTAACTCTGGTCTCGAAGCATTTGCTTCAACGATCTGTTAGTTTTAGTTTAATTTAAAGGGTAATTATTCCGACGCCTGTTGGTTATAAAGGCAGTTGACCAGGACATCAATACACATTTAACATCAGAGAGAGAGAGAGAGAAAGAAATGGGGTTTAACGTCCACTCGACACAAACTAGGTCATTTCGGGACTAACAAATTAATTCGCTTGTGCGTAGGGGTCTTTAGCAGTGGGAGGAAACCGGAAGACCCGGAGAAAACCCACGAGACTGGACAGGTGACTCTACTCCTTGTCACGCCAGTTGACTCAATGACAGACCTTATGATACAGCGCGCACGTGCTAACCATTCGGCCATCCAACCCCCCTAACATCACATAAGGGCTGAAAATATGGCTTTATATATCAATTTCGTTGATAAAAATAAGTTATTTTTCAGACGATTACAAGGAAATAAAGATGGCAGCGTAAAATCAATATAAAAAACTTTTTGGACCAGTACCTTGCCCTGAGTTCACAAAGCATTCTCAGGCTTAAGTTAAGAATTTACTCAAAATTGTTCGCCTTATTTTAACTAAAATATAGCCCTTTATAAACATTTTGTTGTTTAATGTATGAGCAAAGTTTCTGGATCAAAGATATTTCTCATTAACAGTGATTGAAAGTTGAGTAAATTTTCAACTTAAACATGCATTACGCAAGAGCTAAATCTGCCTATTGCAGGTCTTTCTTTAGGCCTAAAATGTTATCTACATTATTAATTAGAGATTATCGAACTTATCCACACCACAATCAACTCTGGATGCCATCGTTAGCCTGTAACATTTACTGGATTTGAATGCATTTTGTGATGGATAATTTAACGTAAAAATGGATAATCGAGACTTTATCATACCAACGTCAGTAATGACGATCGAGACTAGCCTAAAATTCAATGGCTAATATCTCGATTCAGAGTGAAACAATCTGACTGAAATTTGTAGCAGATTTTGTTTACACTATCTATGTTTTAACTATTATAGCGAGAACTGTCTGCTATTTATCTAATCTTAACTAATGCCCCTTTAAGTCTGAGAATGCTTCGTGAACTCGGAGCCTGGTACCAAGCGCTACTCATGGTGTTGTACCTGGGACAATTGCGCATCGATGCCACAATTCCAATGACGCCATGTCCGGTTCCTGGTCCATCAAATCTATAGGTAGGCCTACCGTTTAGTCATGGACATTAGGCATTTTTAAAAGTGTGTTTTGTTCATCCCGATTTACAATGCACTATCTATTATTTTTAAAATGCCACTGGATTCCACATTCGTGGAGTGTTGGCCGAATAGTTTAAGGTCTGTCGTTGAATCTTGGGTCAAGTGGCGAGGTTTCGATTCCCCGCCTGTACGTGACCAGGAGTAGGTCGCTAGTCTAAACTCGTGGTATTTCACCGGGTCCTGGTTTCCTCCCACAGCTAAAATACCCCTTATGCGCTAGCGAATTATTGAAATAAAATTGATCCATATGTTAGTTCCGAAATGACCTAGATTGTGTCGAATGGAAGTTAAACCCCATTTCTGCCTCGCTCTCTTTATGGTGTTTCTAACCAAATTACAACGTAGGATTTGGCGATATTGAAGTACAGTTACTTTAAAGAAATCAATAATTATAATGAAGAGTCTGTCAAGTATGATTTGAAATTAAGTTGCCATTTCCGCTGACGCTGTCCTTTACTACAACAAATAAATTTTCACTGATGGCGAAAATACCAGCATGATAGAATATTAAAATGTTGAAATTGGGGAATTGTTTGTGAGAAAATTTAATTTAATCATCACTCTATTTATTATTAATGTGAAAAAAGATAATTGTCGACGGATCAGCCATTCATCATTTCGTGAACAGGGTTATAATAATAAAAAAAGAATATTTTCTAATCATAAATTTGTTGACCATTGTCGGTTACGATACTCGATGAAAATTAAACGGGGGAGGGGGGGCTGGTGTTTGTGTGTGTGTGTGGGGGGGGGGGGGCGGTGGTTAACGTCAGCAAAACAAGCACATGCTTGGGGCATCATGGGTGGAGGGGGTGTCGGTGTCACTACCTGCTTTGTTAGGGACAAATTTGTTTTTCTCCTTCCTTGCTGTTGCCTGCTTTTTCTTTAAAACCTCATTTTGAAAAATACAAATGTATTTTATGGTTTAGTATTGTTTATGTTTGGAATTACATATAGGCCTATATGTACCGGTATATGGGGGCACCGAAATCTGTTAAGTGTTAGGGCCTCTATTGATCTTAATGCGGTCTTGTTTAACCTCCTACTTTTTTCCCCCGGACAGCGGCGTTTCCGTTTATCGTCGTCGCATTCCACCTGCCCATGTTAATGTTACCTCGGTCTGTCGTTCTATCCTAACAACTAGATGCTATTCCTAGCCAGGCTCCTCCATCCAGCACCACTGACACGAGGAAACCCCAAGGAACTTACTTGGGATCGAGCCTCGAGAAAATTCTGAGTCAGCGTCTTATTCGCGATACCCGCTTAAACGACGCATGGACAGAATGGGTTAAGCCGTGTATAAGCCGTTTTACAGCATTAACACGAAAAGCGCCTCTTAATTTCTTTTTCCCTTTCTCCTTTCCATATTGCTATAGCTAAATGCAATAAAAGGGAAGAAAAAAAAACCTTTGAATTATCAATAAAAGTTTTTATTGCTTTGAAGATCGCCCAAAATTCTCCGGCCAACTAAACCCTTTCAAGAGCAGAAGAAAAAATAACATTATTTTGTCTGCTCCCAATTGATATGTCGTCAAGCATGACGTATTAAGGGCGCTATTTTAACAATACAATTGTTGATGGGCAGTGAATACACGTTTCGTTATCAACTAAGACTCAACAATAAAATTTATTTTATAAGTCACTCCGGGCCATCTGGCGCGAGCGGGGCGCGTGTCAAATGACACGGCGCGTGCCGTTAATGTCATCTTAAACAGGTAAATATGATGATAGGTGTGGCTAATAGTTTAACACCGGTTCAAAAGGTACAAATAAATTTACTGTAGGTAGGCTATGCA